TGATTTAGTCTAAGATTTTTATTCAAAAGATTTAGTCTGTTAGTATTGTTCGAATCAAGATAGTTAGTATTACTATTATTTTCATTTGGGAATTCGAAATTCTGAGGTAATTGATCAAATTTCATATTATCAATGCAAATTGAAACATCTTTTTCTGACGTGTTCAGAATAGGTACAATTGCGTAATTATTTCTAATTCGTGTAACACATGTTCCAATGAAAACATGGTCATTAACCTTTATTGGGTCATATATTATGCCTGTAGAATTTCCAGTATTAAACGATTTTACTTTAATTACCGATTCCGAAAGACCTTTAATTGAGTAATTATGTGTTAGTAAATAATCTGTTATTTTAATTTTTTCACCAAAGTAAAATTGTAACTCTTTTTTATTTAAATCAATATATTTAACATAATCTTTAAGAAAATCATAGCCCAGAATACCATGAGATTTTATATTGAAATCATTTGGTACAATGTAAAATACATGAGTTATTGTTTTGTTTCCAATTTTAAAATTAATCTTTGTGTAACCTAAGCTTTTTGTTTTCCCATTTATGCCTTCGAGAGTAGTACAAGAATTATCCCAATATCTATGACCTTTAGGCAACTCTCCTATTTTAATTAGACTAGCTTGGGCTCCACTGTCGATCATAAAATTAATATTTTTACCTATATCGCATGAAAATATTATACAATATGGAGTATCAGTTTTTAAAGTTGTATTTAAAATAGAAATTTGTTTTGAATCATTAAAATTTAAATTTTTACTCGTACTAGGCTCGTTTTTATGAGAATTTTTTAATTTGTAACATTCGTCTTTAGTATGAAAGTTCTTCTTGCAGTATGTACAAAATTTATTATTTTTATTATTATTGTTACTATTTTTATTAAGTGTATTGTTATTTCCGTTATTGATACTTTTATTATTTTTGAAATAGTTGTTCTTATTACTATTATCACGAAAAAAACAATTTGAAGTTTCATGGTTTTTTTTATGGCAAATATTACAAAATTTATTAGAATTACTCGTAAAAGAGTATTTAGAGAGGTTGTTTTCTGTATCAATACGAATCTCTTCTTGTCTAGCAATAGCAATTGCTTCATTTATATTTTTAGGATTATTAGATAATATTATAATTTTAATCTGATTATTGTATAGGCCTCTTTTAAATGCACCTAACGCTTGGTCTTCACACATATTTCTTATTGCTTCTTTTTGTATTTTACATTTTAATTTATTTGTATAAGCATGATATAATTTAATTTCTAATTTTTCCACTCTGTCACCGAAATCACTAACTTTTTCGTTTTTATATTGCCTAATGGTTTGCAATTCTACGGATAGTTGATCTGGACGAATTTCTTCCCCGAAATATTCAATAAACAATTCCCTAAGTTCTGACCAGTCTTTTAATTCTACAGAATTAACAATTTCCTTTGCTTTTACTTTTATTTTTAATTTAATAGCCAAAAAGAGTTGTTTAATTTTCTCTTCGGTTGCAAGTAAAAATATATCATCTACAGCGCTTANGCAAGTAAAAATATATCATCTACAGCGCTTAAAATTGGTTTAATTTACTAGAATGACCCTCGAAAGGTTCACCTACTAGTTGGGTTAGTTCGAAAATAGAGAATGTTTTATCAGCCATATTAAAAAGACAATTAAATTTTTATGCGAACAAAAAATTTTTTTTTTTTTTAAATTATTTAAAATTGATTTTATAATATATCTTATAATACCAATATTTTACAAAGGGAAACTTAATTAATTTAAAGCTTATAGTTTAACTTAAGTCTAAGTACAAAATAAAATGTTACCAGAAAAGTGTTAAGAACGCCAAATATTTCATGATTTCCTCGAGGTTGTTTTAAGTTTTTCTTCAAAACGCCGATATGAGGTTTTCCAGAGATTTTCTAATTGTGTGAGATGACCAAATGAATCAAATTAACCAAGGATGCCAAATTCTGTGGTGAACTGGGTTTCTAAGTCCAGTTTCAGCCAGTCGGAAGAGTACCAATAGGAAGAGTCAAAGTAAAAATACAGTGTAACATTCACTATGAGTACTGATCATTTTAAGTAAACAAAATACCATTAAAATATAATCTTTAAAATCTAATTTAAAAGACTATTAAGTATTGCTACATATTTCAAGATGCCGTTCACGACAAGTGAACAATAATTAATATCTACTAAATTAATTCTGTTCGATGAGATGTTTTGATAAATAACAGAATTGTTTTTATTATAAACTGATGAGAAGTAAGATCTAAACATGTTTTCGATTGATAAGCTATTATCAGACACTGTATTATTATAATGCATCACGTTAGGAATAGTGTTGTCAGATTTGAATTTTTTTATATAGCTCCAAAAATATTTCGGATTGAGAGATAATTGATTTTGTGTGTAGATTAGATGATTACGGTAACATTCTTTCATTAGTAATTTACATTTCTTTCTGGCATCGGAAAATAATCGATAGTCATTTGGATCATTTGAAATTTGAAATTTTACGTGAAGAGATTTTTTTGAAAAAATACATTGTTTTAGTTCGGTATTAAACCATATAGGAAATTTTGGTTTTTTTTTATTTGTAAATTTAGGTACATGTTTATTTATAATTTCATATAGTATATTGTAAAATGAATTTATATTTTTATTTATGCATTTTTTGTTTAATAGGTAATCCCAGTTAATTTTGTTTAATTCATAACAAATTAACGAATAGTTAGCTATCTTAAAATTAAAGCCAGTGGTATGGGTAGAATTAATATTTACATTAGAACTGTTTAATTCGAAGACTGTTTTTAAAGCTGGATGGTAATTATCAATTACCATAATAATAATTTAAAATCAATTAATTATCAAAATTATATATTATATATTTAAATCTAAGAATTACTAATCAAGATATAATTAAGGAAATAAGAGTTCATGTTACTTTTGTAATTATCCATCATTTTCTTAGAATTAAACACTATCTACAGATTTGCATCGAAGCGTTTCTTACAATAGTGTTTTTATCATCTATACTAGACCCAACAATGCCACGACTTCACTTTACCACCGTTTTTATCATGACTTTTTGCTCGCGCAGTTAACAGCAATAAACGATAACGGTAATAAACTAATAGTAAGTATTATTATAATTTATATTTACTACTCATGTTGATTGCGATTCATAATCTATGGACTACACTGTGCTACCATTTTTTAATTTATAATAATGAGGATTCAATAAATAGAGATAAATTTGAAGATTGATAAAAAATAATTAAACAATGTAAAACTAACATGGAAAAGTTAGCAATATAATTATTAATTATGATGATAAAATAATATAACAATTATTAAGTTTATTTATCAATTAAACATAATATTAAGGATTATCATCTTCTGTCAATTTTGGTTCGATTAATTTACTTAATTTTTGCTCAATGTTTTCATCTTCATAGATATCTTTCAACAAGTTTTGCCGTTTTTTATATTCGCTTTTTATAGTGGCGTCTAAAAATAAATATGTCAAATAATAGTTTTGTTATCTTAAATATAATGTATATTGAAATGTGTATATAAATAATAATGCAGTTATTTTAAACTATTATTTGCTAATTTCGTTTTATGATTTACTTTACTAATAATTTAACTGTTGTCGTTACTCTTACAACTAGCCTTGACTAAATTTCCGTTAATAATTTACTTAATTATTGGAATACCATTTTTTTTTAAAGTCTCGCTGAGTTTTATCTTCTTCAAGAGGCAATTAATTTATGACAAATACTTTTATTTATATGAATGGATCTTTCTAAATAATTTAAGTTATTTTATACTCGCAAGACAATTTACAGTTATAATCTGTCTAGATTTAATAATTATTTAAAGAAATGAAAATCAAATTTTTTTATCTAACCTATATATTATGTTTTATTGTAGAAAATAAATTATACGAAAAAAATAAATAATTTCAACACGAGAATTAATTTTTGAAGTTAAATAGATAGAACTTACTGTTAATAGATATGTAGTCATTAGGTGGGTCGGGTTTACGATTCATATTAGCTGGAATCAATTTTTACTAGAATTAATAAAGACTATTTTTTTATAATCAAACCAATTATAATATAAAAAAAACCCAGCACAGGGGGGTCGCGGCACAGTTGTGACGTGGTATAGTTGGATCAAGTATAATGATATCTGACAGTGATTAAAATCACTATCAAAAATAAACGCTTCGATGCAAATCTTTAGATAGTGTTTAATTTTAAAAAAATTGGTGTTTTATTCCAAAAGCTACTTGATCTGCTGGTTCCTTA